TTAAATTTAGTTTTTGGGTGCGACTATATTATTTGAATAACTGCGGAAGGAAAGTATATCGATTGTTGTTTTTGTTCGATATAAAATAAAATTTATTAGACAATTGATTTTCATTCTATAAATTGCTTAAAATATATATGTATATGTTATACATAATTTGCAAAAAAAATTCACCAAGAAATTCATAAAAAAATTTTTATAAACAAAATTATTTCATATCTATGATATTGTATCTCGCAAATAATTTATTAAAGCAATTAGGATGATTTAATAATAATGACGTAAGTAATTTTTTAAAATTATAAGTTTTGCAATTTCTCCAAAACAAAATCAACCATTCCACAATTACTTTGCAACTAAGTATCTAAATCTATCATATTTCATTTCATCATAAGTACAACTACAATAAAATTTAATAATTTAAAAACTCTATAAAAATTCTTAAGCGCAGATGTCACTACATAATTATTTTAGCATACTTAATAAATTATTGTTCAGTTCAAGTTATTCTTCTTAAGAATCTACAAAATATACTTATACGAGTATATAGTCATGTAATGTAGTGTAGTACATTTACATTGAATTTTTTTTTCGTTAAGCTTTTAAATGAAAAAAAGAAATAAAATTTGTAGTCACTGATCTTTGATCTTCTTCTTTAATCAGCGAAAATAAGATGAAATCAATACGTAAGCACACTTAGTTACAGACAGTACTCATATGTTCATTAAAATAAAATTTATTTTTTTTTTTGTTTAAAGAAATACATAAGTACTGTGGAAGAAAATAAACTAGTGAAAAAAAAACGTGGCTATCTAAAACATCAATTCTCTTACAGAATTTTTCATTATGAAGTAAGAAAATATAAATACATATGCATATACATATGTACATTATAAGACCAGATAAGCTTCTTGACACTCTTTCGAATCTAAAGAATTCTCATGCGTATACGAGATATATAAGAATATTTTAGAAAATAAAGATGATAATTTTAAGCTTATTAAAGTTCTTGGAACTTTTCTTTTTTATCTCTTTCTTTCTTCCTTAAATTTGAATAGCATATTGTTTGTACCCATGAAAAGAAATCATAAAGCAAAACAGAATATTAAAGAAAAGTTGTTTCCTATCTTTTATTATAAAATTTTCATTTTTTTTTGTTTTTTTGTAGGTTACGAGTTAACTCATCAAAAAATACAAAGATAAAAAGAAAAATATAAGAAGGTATAAAAAAAGAAACAAAAAAAAAAGTTATTCTTTTACCTTTTGTTTACCTTTAACTAAAAGACAAAATTCAGCGGATACTAAAAAAAAAATATCTACCACAATATTGTTACGAATCACCAACATTCTTAACATTTTTAAGTTATTTTCCGTTTCTTGTTTCAGAAATTATATCTGTGTTGCCATATTCAATATTAAAAAATGCTTTCATCGCCTAGTTACCCTGAATTCAATTGTGCAGATATATTGTAATAAACTGCAAAGTCTAGAATTCAACATTTTATATATATACAGAAAAATCTGCAAAGGTCAAAATTTAATAAAGTTTTTTATGTGTATATAATATGTACAAATAATGAGTATTTCGAACATGGAAAAATTTTTACATACTTAATTTTGCTTTACTACATTATTACATGTCCAGAGCTTCAGTCTTACATTTCCCCAGCTGACATGATAGTAATTAAAATATTGCAGTGAAGCGTAGTAGTGTTGCAGTTTTAACACATATATTGGAGTCAGGAAACATGTTAATATATATTTATTGACGAGTTACAAACTTAACGTTTAAGTGAATCAGGCAAAATATTTACATAAAATTTAGTAGAAAATTCAAAGTAGTTTAATTTTAAATAAAGTCGCTCACTTTTTTAAAAGCTAATTTACTTTGGAACACATGGTTTATTTGTTTTTCTTTTTTTTAGAAAGTAATTATTTGATATATAACTTTACTTATATCAGAACACACAATAAAAACTGCATGCAATGGTAACACTTAATTCTTTTAAAATGAAACGTACATACATATATAAACTTATATTATATATTCATATCATATACCACTTTTAATTTTATGCTTCTATATGGCTTCAATACCGGTCTATGGATTGAATTTAATTAAAAAAAAAAATTCGGTTTATACACAAAATTATGGATTTTAAACTCTTTCGCTTATTTTTTCTTTCTCTTTAACTAAAACAAAATTCTTACATATTACTTACACACACACATATATATATATATATATCTATATATATATATATATATATATATATATATATATATATATATATATATATATATATATATATATATATGTTATATAGCTATAAATTTAAAGAATTCTTATATATAAGTATGAAAATATATATTTAAATAATTATTACAATTGTATACAAAGTAAAGATAGTTGGTCAAAGTCAGTCAACTTTATTTGCTAGAAATTTTTTTCATATTTTACTATTACTTATACTTATTCCTCCTTTTCTTACACTATTCTTATAGGTAGCTACTCTTCTCTTATAATATTAAACATTTTAATACTTACATATAAATTTTCTCAGTATGCTTATTAAAAAAAAAAAGGAATCAGCATAAAGCATTAGTTTTAATCAAATTTTAAGAACTAAAAATATTTAAAAGACTGGGTGCGATTTTTAAAATTAAAAGCTGAGTCTGCGGCAGCGACTACCTTAAATGCAAATTGTTATTATAAAACTATTTGACTCATTTTAATTTATCATTCAATTTGAAATCGAAATTGAATTCGAATTTAACAGTTTGATTTAAAATTGAACCATATATTGGTTAATATTTAAGTAATAAATTATTTAGACTATTCAAGTCTCGAAAATTTAGGTATTTATACAGATTCTTACTGATTTAGAGGTGTTAAGTAATAATTAAAATTATCGAGCCCAATTTTAAAATTATAATGACGTCGAAAATAACGACAACAAATTAATAAATTGAAATTCCACAAATTACACTTAAACACAGTTTAAAAAAATTTAATGAAAATACAAAAGCATGCCCGCATCCTCCCTTCCCTTCCACCCTCACAATCGGCTTTGTTTTTTTTCTTGAACTAATAATGTACTCTACGAAATACTTCTTTTCTTAAGCTATTTTAAAGAGAGAAAAGGCAAAAAAATATATTAAAAAAAATTTTATACAAATTTTTACACGCACACAAAGTTAAGTTCAATGCTTCTTTTCCATTTCAGTAAAAAATAAAAAATAAAACGTGAAAGGTGTTTTTTATTATTTTTTTCTTATTTATTTTCTTTCAATTTTTTATTAAACTTTTTAAATCAGTTTTATTACAATTTCTATTTTTATTATCGTTATTAGTTATATTATTTTTTATTATGGCTTATAGTTTTTGCAAAGCAACTTACTTATTTAATAATTTTTTGCCGGTAAGCACTTATACTATATACGATAGAGAGAACTGAAATAAATAATGTAATCGTAGTAAGATTGAATTTATCATATATACTTAGACGAAAAGGCAAAAATATAAAAATTCTATAATTGTTGCTTTTCATAGATTTTCCTGCTTTTTTTAGAGTTTAAAAATAGCTTCACGGCATAATTATAAGTAAGTATACAAGTAATGTAACTACCTACCTACCTATACACGTTATTATTGTATTCACTTTTTTTTTGTTTCTAAATTAAAATATATGGTCGTGATCGTAGTCGTGACGAAATTTAGCGAAATCTTTATTAGTAAAAAGAGTTAAATACTTATAAAGAACAAAAAAATGTAAAGATAATAAACAACATTTATATGAAAAACTATATAACATATAGGAAAGCAAAGTAATTGTCGTTTATACAATCATATTATAAAAGTTATACCAAGACAAAAGATCTTGAATAAAAGAAGTCGTTTGGATTCAACATAGTCGCTTACATTATAAACACAAGAAGATGTGATAAGGAGGTAAATTTCGATATTATTTATTTAAGCATTTCGATTTAAAAACAACTAGGTACTTATGGTTATGCGACCACATTAAATGCAGAGCTTGAATTAAGTAAGCGTTTTTACTATTTTTTCCAAAAACGCCAAAAATTAAATTTTGCAATTTTAAAAGTTCCCTGTTGCTTTATTATGAGAATTTTCTTTTCTGAAAATTATTATGTACATACTCTTATGTACTTTGGAAAAGTGATGGATAAACATTGATTTATATAGCTAGGTAGGTAAAAATACCTTTTAAATTATCTTTATGAAAAATCACGTATGAAGTAAAAACTATAATCACGGTATTAACAAAATCTCATATAACACATATACTAGTACGTTAAATACGAAAAAAACTCTTTTGATTCAAAAATTTTGGAATTTCTCACGTAATGACGAAAAATATTAGGCGCATAGCTACCTACAATTCTATTATTTATTCTTACAATATTTTAATTTTATTTATTCTTACAAAATTTTAAATTTGGAATAAAGTTCATGCCTATCCTAATTATGGATTTTAATTTTTAATACAACATAATGATGATTTTTTAAACTTAATTTTTTAGTTCCAAATTCGATAAAACAACTAGTTCTATAGTTTATATACTCGTAATAATAATTGTTACATAATTATCAGTAAGATCGGCACCTACGTTCTACGTACTATTTAATAGCTTAAATACAAAATGTATTTTAATAACTTGTACGATTTTTGGCAAAATTATAATGAAGGTATTACAACTTTAGAAATATAATCTCATTGGTTGTTTGCTTCATTTTGCAAATTTGTTTTTAAATACATAAGTACACAAAATTATTATTTCTAAAAATAAATAATTTTAGTTCAACAGGTTGTATTAGAAAGAAAATTCATAAAAGAAATTTAAATGGGTAATGTTAATAGCAGATCATATCCAAGAATAATTGATATAATTTGATATAGGAGATACAATAAATTAAAATAATATAAAATTAGCATGAAATTTTAATAATTCTAAATGAAAATATTGTACTCATTTACCTCATACAGTATTAATTCTTTCCTCAATCTGCGTTATCCAATTATTTCCAGAAATTCTTAGTTCATTAAAAATATTAAATATCTGCACAATTTTTATTTTCTTTTGTTTTTTTTACACATAAATACTAAGTTGGTGATGGATGTCTCAAATTTTTATTTTAAATAAATTTTCTCATTGTTTGCAATGAAAAGTTTTTTTTTTTATCGAAACTGGATTTTTTTTCAATTCAGTAAATTCAATAGTTTATATTTTTTTTTTATCAATAGAAATTTTATTTTGAAAATTTTTCTTAAATCACTAAAGCTATTCAACTTCAATAAGTAGGTGCATATACCTAACCTATGTAGTTTAAACACATAATGAAAACAAAAATAGGATTAAATTCCAATGCTTAAAATTGTGCAGTATGATTAATGTAGCGTCGTTTTTGTTTTATGTGCAATTTATTAACACTAACAAAACTTGTCCCGCATCTAGAATTTTGTTAAAAAAAAGAAACCACTTGAAATATTCATATAAAATTTCTGTGCTGGAATTTGAAATTTCAAAACCAAAGCAATGTTTTTTTTCTCGTTTTTTTTTTTATTTAATCACTTTTTAAAATAAGAATTTTTATAGTATGCTATATACTTAAGAATTTTATAAATATATTATGTATATAATATATGTATGTACGTATGTATATTTAAAATCCGTTTAGGTTATAAAATGTTTTTTTTTATTTTCGAACAAATATTTTTATAAAAAGTTAATTTTTTTTTATTCAATAAAAAAAAACTTCAGCTAATTTAAATTTATTACAAATAAAATATTTTAAGAAAAAAATAAAAATTATTTATCCGCAACGCAACAACCGAGATAACACAAAAACCCTTGCAAACAAAAACTTAAAATGACAATCCCATTTTCTTCTTTCGTTTCTTTGATATGATTTCTTTCATTCTTTTCTGACATTGACAATAGTAAAATGACAATTTGCAAAACAAAATATTTTAGTGATGGTAACATTGTTTTAGAAAATCTACTGCACTTTTTTTCTTATTGTGTTAGATTTTCAAAGATAATTTGGATCTCCATTTTTAAATAAATTAAGGTTTCTTTTCGAGAGAAATATTAAGAAATAAATTAAATTTATTAAAAATTAACAAGCCTCCAGGGCAGTTTTAAAAAATAACTTGATGACAATTTCAAAAGTCATAGTCAAAAATGACATAGTCAAAAAATTAAATAATTTTGGGTGAAAAAAAATACGTGTTTGATTTACAAGAAAAACGAGGTTTGAAAAAAATTAGTAAGTGCATAAATTCCCTACATTTTTACATCTTATAAAATAATTTTATACTTTGTGAAAAAATGTTGACAAGCTCTTTTGATAAACTAAATGTATGATTTATGAAATGAAATGTGTTAAACTATGAGATTGTAAATCAAAACTTAGAAATTGTGTAAAACAAAAGAAAAAAATTTAATTTCATTTCGATATTTGCAGTTGCAATCAATTTGCAGATTCGAAAATTGATAGTGGTATTGAAGTCTTTCTCCTGGGAAAAAATAATACCAATAAAAATATTTTTGCACTGTTTTAGTACTTTCTTTAATCTATATACACTTCTACAAATACTTGAATAGGTGTACCAAAAAACGCTTTCAATTACTATCAAACGCAAATCAAACGTAAACATAAATGACAAAATTATCAAATCTCAAAACCAAACATTCCTTTCATACTTTGTCATATATTTGTACGATAACGAAAATGTCATACAATTTTACTTAATGCGATCCTTGTGGTATATATGTGAAGCTCAATAGTAAAATAAAAATGATTACTTATTATACAAACACTTCAAAAAAATATTTACCCATTATTATAGTTACAAAAAAAACTCCCACCTTTAAAATTTTTAATATTTTTTTCTATACCTTACATTCGAAAAAATAAATTACTCCCGTTTCTAAAAATACGTTATGAAAAAACAGGTACACATCTATCGCGTACTCTTTCTCTCTATACTGCATAACTCTTAGGTAATTTATCATATCATAAACTGTTTCTTGACCCATTTAAATTTTTAATGTCCAACAGTTATAAGTGTGGCTTATAAGTTAGGTATCTCATTCTACCTTACCGCTATTTTTAAAACTTATATATTCCGAAATGCAACTGCAATATGAAAAAATTCTAAAGTCAAGAAAACCTGCAACATATAAAAAATTTCTAAAAGTACAAAATAAATTGAAAGCACTTGTTTCAAATTATATTACAACTGAGAGATCAGAATTAGATAAATTAAAATTCTTAAAAGCAGCTGCATATTATTCTTTTATGGAAAAATAACCTTTTTTATTATTGTTTTTATTTTTATTATTTTTTCTATAAACAAGTAAATGTTTAATTTTTTTAGATTTCCAAAGTGGAATAGACCTATAGAGGAAACCACTTTAAAAAAAACGCGCCAAATCTCCTACCCCTGGGGTGGTGTGGAAAGGGAGATGAATATAAAGAACTATTCAAAAAAATAGCTTTTTATAGTTTTTTTATTTTCTTTTTCAATATAATTTATTTTGCAAAAAAAAACATTAAATTCTCTTATTAGCTCTATTTTCTCTTATTAGTTCTTTAAAGTTCTATTTCGTCCATTATTACTTTTTGAATTTTTGAAAAATTCTTGATTGTTGTTGGTCGTTTTTAGGTAGCTAAAACAAAAAAAAATATATATGTAGAAACATTATAACAATATAAAGAAAATAACGATACCTCGCCTAACCAACGCCCAATTATAGTACCAAAAGCGCGTCCGTTTTCAACTAGCCGTTGGCGAAGAGCAGCTCCATTTGCGGCATTATTTTTTTCATGTACATTTTCTTCATTAATTTGTTTTGCTCCCAATGGTTGTATAGCATCAACATTAGGTACAATATCCACATCAGTATTATCATTCCATTGTGGTACTAGTGCTGGTGATATTGCACTTGATGTTGATGTTATACAACTATCAGGAGCAACTACACCTTCGCCTAAAATTTCGTCTATTTCCGATGTTGTACCATTTTTTTCGATCTCTTTTTCATAATTCATTAGAGTTGAGGCAATCGATGAAGGCCTATTCCATATTTCCGAAACATTTGGAGATAACGAATGAGCTCTTTTTTTTCCATCGGTTGCTCTTTATTTCGGCTAAAAATAGAAATTTATAAAAATAACAAATAAAATTAAATCTTACAAACTAACAAGTCTTTTACTTACATTTTAATTTTATGAATTTTTTCTATGTGTTCATAAGTGGTATGATTCATAGAGCGATATGTTTTTATTTGTTTAATTTCGAAACACATCTTGCAGCACACTTTGTTTTTATGAATTTCGGTCGTCTTAATATTTTTTAAATATCCATAATATAAATGAATAGGATATTTGTATTGTTTTGGTACCGGTAAATCTACGACCTAAACCAAACATTAAAATTAAAATTTAAAAGATTTATAAATTATTTAACTTACTTCGAAACTCTCAAATTGTATTAGATTAGAAATATCATCCATTTTTGTACTTTACTATCACTTTACTTAACTTTATATTAATTGCATTTGATATTTGAAATATAAGTGGTTAATACGATTAACTAACTCATCAAAGTTATACCGTTTTTTTATATCGTTTTTTTTATTTTGAAGTTTCTTTGATTTATGTTTGAATGCAGTTTATGTCGTTCAAATTTCAAACGGATTGAATACATATGTACTTTTATAAAAGTACTTGAAGTATTTGTAGAAGTGTATATAGATCAAATTTTCAAGTTCAAGATGAAAATCAAAAAGTACAATTAATATTTAAAGCTTGATTGTTGAAATTGTTTAGGTATTCATTTTAAAAAAAATTTAATGCCTCCTAAAAATGACTTATAAAAAGTTTAGTACGGTATCAATATGGTTTTAGTAGGGTCTCAAAATTCTTGGTGCCACTACATTCTAAAAAAAACAAAATTCTACAAACTTTCGTGTCACTCTTATTTTTAAATTTTAGAAAATTATAAAATATTTTTATATAAATTTTTTTTTAATATAAACACATTTAGTTTATTTTAATAAAATGTTAAAATTAAAACATATTTTAGTTTATGGTTTTTCTTGACCTATGTTTGCTCGTGTCACTCTTTCTTTTACTCTTATATTATGAAATCTTCTTAAATGCTCTCTGACAGAGTATGAGTTTTTAAATTTTCTATTACATGATGGAATTGTACAACATATATTTTCAGACTCCTTATGAGTGTTCGTATGATATCTAAGACGAATTGAACTTTTAAACATATGGCCGCAAATTGTACACTCAAATTTTGGTTCCAAATGCGTTATTTTATGCTTTTGGAGATTTCCATTGAAATGGAATTTAGCAAAACATATGTCACATGAAAATTTTTTAATATTTGTATGAAGTTTTCTATGACGAAAGAGGGTTGAAGGAGCTGAAAAAGATTGTTTACAATTCTTGAAGTCACAAATGAATGGTTTTCGATCTGAAAGTAAAATTTTAAGTGAATAAAATAGCGACGTAAAGTAATAAATTTCATTTTACTGAAATGAGTATTCATATGAAATTCCATATTAGATCGCCGAATTATAACTCCGCAAAGGTCACACATCTCGCTTTTATTCCTTGAATTAGGTTGTATAAATTTAACATTTCCATTATTTGCAATAGATTGATTAATATAACTTTGCGTATTACTTGGCAATAAATCACTTTTCTTGAATATTGCTTTCCTCTTATTATTTCTCTCAATTTCACTCGATTCAATATTTTCTAAACTTTCACTTTTTCTAATTAATTCACTTTTTAACGCAGACCTAATTAAATTCCTTCTTTTAACTAATTGTTCAAGTTTTAAAAGATATAAAATATTTAAAAAGTCTTCGGCGAATTCCATTTAAAAACCTTTTTGTTTTCGAATAAAGAAAAATAAAAACAATATTTTTTGACAACAAATTGTTTTCTAGATAGATGACATCTACTTTTGATACAAAAGGCTAGGTTTACATTTATTTATCTACCAACAAAGTTGATGAGATGGTGTAAGTACGAATTTAATCATCTCAACCTAAAAATAATATCTTCTAATTTTCTAACAGACTTTGTGGTATCAAAAAGATTTTTACAAAGCCTGACACAGTTTTAACAGGGAAAACAATGCTTTTAATTGCCTGCTTTGAAAATGAAAGAAAAGTGTAATTTTGTTGGAAAGATAAAAATTCCTTAGAAAAACGAAGAATCCTGATTTAAAAGTAAACAAAAAATGAGCTGAAAACGAGATACACGAATAGGCTGTAAAAGTTTGGTGCAAAATAAACTAAATTAAGTCAGATTGACAGCTCTGAATTTATTTGTTTTGTTTTTTTTTTGTTTGAAAATATTCCAAACAATAAATACATACCTACTTGAATGCTAAATTCATTTCATTCTTTGATATTTTTACAAGCAGATAAGAATAAAATAAGGACGAAAGAAATGAATAAAAATGAAAGCATATCGTTGTTAAAAAAATTAATGTTATTAGCAATTTTAAAACGCCAAAGAAATCGAAGAAAAAAGAAAAATTTCGAATCACTGAACAAAACCAAAAATAGTTATGAAAATGCTGTTGATAATATTGGTTTAGTGGATTATCATAATAAAGTGGGCAATGAATCCGAAAGTTCTGAAAACGACTTTGCAAATGAAAGGTAATTATTTAGAGTAGAAATAGCCAAATTATATTAATAACCTCATATCTAAAAATTTTAATTATAGCTACTCCAGTTCAAGTAGTTGTAATATTAAAAATAAAAATTCTGAATGCATTATAACATATAGTTTTGACAAACATACTAAAGCAATAAATAAAACTTTAATACATCGAGACAATACAGAGTTAAAAGAAATAAGAGAACTAACTAGCAAAATAACTTATAGACGAGTAATATGCGATATATGTGGAAAATCATTTAACGAGAAAAACTTTAGGTTTCATTTAAATATGCATAATAGTAAGTATTTTAACCTTCTTATAAACATTTCAAATGTAATTTAAATAAATGTATATATTTTAGATCATTTTCCTTATAAATGTATGATAGATAATTGTAGAAGAGCATTTACTTCCGCCCAAATGCTTAAACAACACCAAAAATTTCATGTAAAAGAAAAATGCTTTAAATGTGAATTTTGTGATCGCACATTTTATATGCCCAGTTCTTTGAAAAAACATCGTTTGCTACATTTTGACCCAACTATTGAATGTCAAAAATGTGGCAAAAAATTTCATACAAAGAGTTCTCTTAAAATGCACATGGAAAAAATACATTTGCGTATTAAAAAGTTCGTGTGTAACATTTGCGATAGACCGTACTTCAATCAGAGTAGTTTACGAAATCATTTAATGGTAACTCATAAACAAGAATTTACTTCTCAAAGAATAGCGAAATAATATTTTTATTAATATAATACCTAGGTACCTAGGTGCACAGAAAAATTGTTTTTCTATTTTTTGATTAAAAAGTTAAATAGGCAATAACATTGGTTGTTTTAAAACTAGTTTTCTTCGTATTGGATAATGTTGAAACTTCTAATTGCTTTTCTATTTTATTCGATTGTTTGAAAAAGTTGTAAATTTTCTCTAAAAAGAAGATAAAAAAACATAAAGTTTTTTTAAAATTGTGTTGTGCTATACTTCCAATATCCTAAAAAAAACGTTATAGCTATGATCGATGATTTTAGTAGCATAAAACACAATATTTCATTTCAATATACTACATATTGAATTTTGAAACACGTGATCTCACTTTAATGTTGTGAAACTTTCGCAGATGTTTTCTAAGATAATGTGAATTTTTAAAGTTTCTTCCACATGATGGTATTGTGCATTCAATATTTTCAAATTCTCCATGGATATTTTTAATATGAAAATTTAGTCGGAATTTACTCTTGAACATACTATCACACATATCACACTTGAGCCGAGGTTCTAAATGTGTCGTTTTGTGTTTTAGAAGACATCCCTTCAGATTAAATTTTGCAGAACATAAGTCACACGAAAATTCTTTGATAGCCGAGTGCAACTTCTTATGACTGAAAAGCGCAGAAGGTGAAGAACAGGACATTTTACAATTATTGACATCACATTTAAAAGGTTTTCTGTCTAAAATTAAGAGCAGTTTTTAAGATTTTAATTCTTTAAACTAGTATTAAACGAAACTTACTGAAATGGGAATTCATATGAAATTCAAAATTTGATCTGCGGACTATTTTTCCACATAACTCACACATTTCGTTTTTTCTGTTTCTGGTAGTCGAATTTGTATCAGATTCGTTAATTGGCTGTCGCAATGGTGCTTTTACTTCACATGGCATCAAATCACTCTTATTGTAAACATTTACACCTTTTGTCAAATTTAAATTATCAAACTCGCTTTCATCGCTAAAATTTTCGAAATTCATGCAATCATCTTCATATTTGCAATTGGATATTCTGTTTGATTTTGTATTGTTCTGATATCTTTGGATTATGCTTTTTTCACATTTTTGTTCAAGTAAGAGAATATTTTTGATTTTAGTTAAAACTTCATTTTTGCTTTTGATACATTTTTTCAATTTTAACAATAATAAAATGCACAAAAAGTCATCAATATCATCCCCATTCATTTTTAAGCTTGAACTTATTGTTTCTGCTGAATTAAACAGGTCTCTGACAGATATAAATCAGCTGTGCTCTTTTAAAACCGGCATGTATTGCCGTTACATGTTTTAACAATATATCAAATAACAGATTTGGTTATTGAAGTTTCTGTGAATTACGCTCATACGAATTTTCAATTTCAAAATTTCCTCAGATATTTCCTCGGGCCTGAAATTTAAATTAATCATTAAATTTCAATAAAGAACATATTGTCAAAGGTAAGTTTTATATTATATTAATAAGTACGCGAAAACATACAACTAATACTAACGTCATTCGAGATTTTGAAAATCTTAACAGCTTTACAAAAGCTTAAATTTTTGAGGTTTGAAAACTTTGTATAGGTAGCGTTTACACATCAAATATTTTTCATTGATTTTGTTTGATTTGATAAAAATATGGTGTGTAAACTACTTTGATTTTTTAAATCAGATTTTGTTGGGTCGAAAAAAAATTTACTTAACTTTTTTTGTGTTCAGTTTTATCCAAGTATCAAAATAAGTGAATGGTTTAAAAAAATGAGAAATTACTCTACTTAGATAAATTAATGGCAGTAATCTGGTGGACACTTGTTGAGATAATTGGAAGAACAACCTCGCAATGTTTATAAAGATATTTTTTTATACAAAAATTTAACCATTTTTTCATTTCATAAATATGCAAATATCAGGTATGTTGCACTTGAATCGAAACTGTAGTTATATGTAAGTATGCATCCAATATATAAATTTTTACAAAGTTTAAGTTTGATTCTTGACACAACCAAATTATCTGCATTTCTGTCAGAGGTGGTTTAATTGAAAAAATGAAAATGTAATACAACAAACATACAGATGTACATAATTATGATAGTACGACAGATGAACTTTTGTTAAAAATTAATTTTTAAATTGGCATTTTTTATTAATTACAGCTTCAATCTTAAAATGATTAAAAATACTTTTTATTTATTTTTGAATTGTTTTCAATTAGATGTAGAACTTTATTTTAAAATTTGTAAAATCGTTATATAAATTATAACAGTTATAGTTGAGCTTTAAAATTAACTTAATAAACCAATTTGCATATATGTATGTATGTACATAAATACATGATTCAATTTTCATCTAGTTTTGGTATTGAATAATGTGTCACTGGATTTTTATATAATGGGTTCGTTTCTTCCATTTTCCCTTCTTTAATTTTTTCTTGCATTTCTAAAGCTTCCTTATTAAATTTGTCACATTCTTTGCGATCTTGTAAAACTAAACATAGCTTGTACATTAATAAACTCAATATTCCAACAATTAGGGTTATTATTAGGGTTATAATGCCCAATATTGCATAATTAATTGGCGTACAATCGTTTTGCTCAATCTTTAAATGGCTGATTTCATTCTCATCTATTTTATATTCAAAGTAATGGTCACACTGATATTCACCATCTTCATAATTAAGCCGAAGTAGGCATTTAACATTAGCATCTAAAAATTTCAATATATTATTTAATTTTGATTATTTTAGGTATTTGGTAATTAAATGAATTCAATTAAAACCGTAAATTTATTTAAAAAATATAAGTAAATTTAAAATTAACTGTACCAATTGATTCCGTTTCTATTTTGTAAGTATAGGGACCTTTTTCATCCCTACATATTGAATCTTTATCATCAACGTGCTCTATTCCTTGGTTATCATATATCAAAATTTTTGCACATGGTTCATATTTTTCACAAAATCCTTCTTTTGCAGAACCGTTCACATTATATTCACAATATTTACCCAAATAATTATCTTTACAGGAGCACTTATCTGTGCAGGTATCACATTCACCATTATTTGAACAAGTACTTCTGTCAACAGGATTTATGCAACCATTTTTTGCTTTAACACAACATCGTCCATTCATCCAACCATACTTACAAACACATTCTCCACATTGACATTCTTCAATTTCATCATTGCAATTAGGGCATTTGAGGCATTCACAATATTTTCCTTCATAAAAAAAACTGCATTGGCATTTTCCACAATCACATTCACCATGATTGGAACAAATTGATCCTAATTCACCACTGGGATATTTATAACGGCATAAATTTTCTAGAGCTTGATTGGTTGTATAATTTTCAGAGTCACATGAACAATAAGTTCCTAGCCTGTTATATGTTGTTAACAAAAATTATTGAAAAATATTTAACTATATATGTGTTGCATTGCGGTGCAATAAGAGAAATTGTGTGTGTACTTGCCAGTTTTCATCGCAGATGCACATTCCGCATTTTAAATGACCGTGATTATTACAAGGTAATCGGCCGCTATCATCTTTTATTGGTTGCTCTTCACATGGACAGGGTTTTTGTACTTCAACTTGTATTTCAATGTCCTCTGACAGACCCGAATCACCGATTTTAATAAGGTAATTCTTAAAAATATAAATACATATTTATAAAAATGTAAATTGTAAAATTTAAATCACAATTATTTTTAAGCTATTTTTCTTTACCCAATTATTGTCCTTAGGATATTCATCTAAAGTTATATTAATTAAAAAATCTATCTCATCTCCCAATTTTATGTTATTACAATAATTTTGTTCTTGAAGAGAATGATTTTTCCCTCCACAATCTGTAAAATATTTAACAGAAATTATATCCGGACTTGTATCTTCAAATTGAACTTTATTAATGAGTGTTTGATATCTAAAAATTAATACTAATTTTTATATTAATTTTCTTTTCAAGGAACACAAAAAAAATTACGCGTTTCGAACCAACTCCAAAATATTTGAAGAATTTGAGCTCAAAATTTCAACAGCGCTAATGTCATGCATTAATTTTCCCATACTCATATAATGAGATGAAACTGCCTTTTCAACGGCAAATATAACATTGACTTTTCTTCTTAATAATTCTCTATAGATTTCTTCAATTGAAGGATAATCATAAGTTAAATCCCCTGTATAAAGGCCATCTTTATTCAAATGACATTTTTTATCATTTCTTTGTGTAACTCCCAAAAGTATACCGTCTCCAGCAAAATGCATATAACCGTCTGTAGCTAAAATTACAATTTTGCGTGCATCATTACTCCAACCAATACTTTCAGTACAAACGATAACTTGCATTAAAGCATCTAATTGTCCTTCCATATTTTCTAAATTTCCTGTTATTTTACTATCTTTAACAGAATTAATAAATGATTCAATATCTGTAGTCAAAGCTAAATCATGTTTAAAGTCATATGTTGGTCCACATGTTGCACCTTCATAAGAACATGGATTTGTTTTAAATTTTTCTGATGGATTAATGGGCATTCCAGGTTTATCAGCAAAACTTCCAAATCCTAAACGATAGTTTTTTGTTAGTGATGTCAACGTCTCTGCCAATTCACTACCGAGTTTAATTAAAGTTTCTTTATCATCTTTCATACTCCAAGTCGAATCCATCAAAAAATATAAATCGAGCGGATAATTTCGAGCTAATCTATATGTCATTTTAAACTGTTGGCTTTTTCCTAATATCAAGAGTAAAAAAAAATGTTGAGTGAAATAAAACAAAATCATAAAATATTAGGGCAAACACTAGTGATCAGTACGTATTATGCAGTTTCTAATTAAATATTAGATGATTGTGTTGCGAATTAATTAAATAATAACATATTTTTATATAGGACAGACAACCTTTAACCAATTTCAATTTTAATTTTTGTGGTCGAACTTGTACTGCTCTGGCATTCCTCTTCTTCTCATTTTCCAAGTCAATCATCACATAATCCTGTGTTGGAATGTCTTCTGTAATCTGGAATTCTTCATGATTTTCAATTATATTTGTAACGAAACAATTTTCTCGTAATAAATCAGATTTTGTCATACATCTGCTTGTACCATTGAAATTCTTTATATTATAAAAAATTTAAAAGAACCAAAAAAAGAATTTAAAAAAATTATGATTTTTTAAAATACTTGAAATATTCGTACATTTATTAATTCATTAGATTTTATTATACATTTTTTTTTAGATTAAAAATTAATAATGTATGAGGATGTATGGATTTTTGAAAGCGGAAAGAGTTATAACAACGGATCAAATGATCAACATACTTTAACGAGCATTTTGCCGTGAGAACATTCGCCGTGAGAACTTTTAGAATTTTCTATTGAAAGTCACTTAAGAATGTAAATTTAATACAATTTAATAGTCCTAAAAATTTATATTGTAAGAGATTAGCATTACACACGTACTTTTTGCATTATATTTTTAATAAAAAAAAATTTTTTTTTTTTTAAAATTTTGCTAAATTAAGCATACAGATTCTTAATTTATATTGTCAAAAAGTATGTCAAACAACAACAATAATCCTGAAGGTTAAAGAGAGCTCTGCTCTCTTGTTTTTCAAAATTGAATACAAATCAATTAATTTGATAATTCGTATAGTGGTCATACATAAATACCATAGCGGCGATTACATACTCATACGTACGTAATATTTTTAAAATTTTATTTCAAATGTCAATATTTTTTAAAATAATTGATAAGATTGATAAATAAGAATTTTTACTTAACTTACTTTATCAGTACACCATGAACATAAATAGTTTTCGGCTAAACATTCTTCACAATTATCTTTGAATGCACATTTCTCTAAAATAATTTTAATATTATACGGTTAGAAATTTTGAATATAAAATTTATAATTAACATTTATACCATTTGCGAGCACATTAATTGCCATAAAAATTAATAACAATAGCTTAAGCATAATATTTTTTCTCAGCATAAACATATTTTATAAAAATAATAATATTCTCTTATATTGAGAAATGATATAATTAATTGCGTATTTTCTCTTAAAGAGAGAAATGAGTGAAAAGCACGTGGTTTTATTACAACCACAATTTAAATATTCTTAATATTTTTATATTTAAATTTTAATTTAATTGTGTAAAAAATTTAAAATTTAACATTTTTTATTTTAATTATTTCTAATATTTTTCTTTTTTACTATAAACACATTTATTTTAATATTAATTAAATTTATAATTTTATTAAAAAATCTTATTCCATTTTAGTTATTAAATTTTAATGTATAAACGGTTTGAAAAGTCACATAAAACTAATTTTATATGATCGAAGAAAATTTACAATTACTTTAAATTTTAAAAATATAAGTTTTATCATAATTTTGAATTTTAGATAAGATTAAAATTTTTATAATGATTCATAAGCCAATTTGTCTATACATACCTATATAATACTTTTATAAAAAAGTTTATTCTATTTATATGTACATTAGGACATTAGGAAGTGTTATATTTAAAAAAGCATAAAACAAAATTATATCTGTAATATGTTCTGTGAAAGTTTATAGAAATGAATTTGTATACAAAAAATATTTGGTAAATATGACAATAATCTTTACTTGTATACCAATTTACCTTTAAAACTTTAAAATTTCTTATCTCTAATAACTTATGTAAACACAATACATGTTTATTTTCCCAACATAATCGAATATATGTATATATGTATAATGTACAATGTCTATCTCTATATATGAATTTATGTTAGTTAATATGATATTGTCCACTATAATTTTTAAGTATATCTTATAATTTTTATGTAGGTAGAGTAAACATAAATTTTTATTCCTGTATAACATTAGAGCTCATAAGGCTTATTACAAATTATTGACCGTTCGAAAGGGGTTGTAATTACAAAAAATTATTTAATGGGGTCAGTTTTTAATCATAAAATTTGGGATTTATGATAATTCATACACATGAAAGTTCTAAATTAAAAAAACTTAAGAATTCATTTAGAATTTTAAATACTATTATTTCATTTTCAAACATGCTAAATTTTTGTAGATTTCGCCGTTTAGATTTATCGAACGTGCCATATTTTAAGACTTAAATTGAAATGAATTATCGAAAATTGCTATTTTTAATCGCAACAATTTATATTGCGTTTTTATACTGCATTTATACTACAATAAGTTATACCATTTTATTTTTTAAAGATTAATGAATAGAATTGAGTTTATAATATTTGTACAAGAAATAGGATCATAACTTTCACCTTTTATTTATGCGCTAGTATAATCTGATTCTACAAAATATATTTATACTCCTTTGAATGGTCAACATAGAATTCACAATTGGATTTGTATATGAGGGTGTAGAATTATGGTCCAAACAGTTTGATTTCGGTTTTAGAAACAATTGAATTCTACTTTTGCGCCCATTCGTTCAAAATTGGGTTCGAATTTATTTTTCGCTCAATCTTCGCTCAGCTCATTTAATTTTCAGATTTGTTTTATAACATTAAAATAAGTTAAAAATACAAAAAAAAAATATAAAAATTTTAATTTCTTTTTTTTTTATTTATTTATTGTTTTTTTTTACTCATTTCTTTAATGAATATTTATATAATAATGAAAGAATCATTTACAAATGTTTGAATTTATTTGCATTTAATTTATTATTATTATATAAAATTATATTTCTAGCTAAAAATTAAATACTATACAATTTTCATAATACACAATTTATTACATAAAATTCTATAATAATAATAATAATGTTTATAATATTATATATAAAAAATGTGTTAATTATAATTAATATATTATTTTATATAATTAAATAGAATTTAGGCACAATATAATAGAAGGAATTTATTTAATATTTTTATATCTATAGCTGCTATAAGTTATATATGTATGTAATATTGCGCAAATTTTTTAATTCATTCTGAAATTATGTAAAGTAATTAATATAAAATAAAAATTTTAATTTTTGTTTTTTTTTTCTCAGAATAATTATGGAAATATGTTTTGCTATACTAAACTATTTTTAATTATAAAAAACACAGATTTTTAATCACTCTATTTTCTATATTATAATTATATTTTATTTTTTTTTTTTTATTAATTTTGTTACATAAATTTTCCAATGTTAACCCGGTGTATTTTTATTATTTTAATCAAATTTATATAAAAAGGTATTTAAAAGAAGGAAAAAAACTCGAAAAAAAAACATTTTATATACCCTCATTATGATTGGTGATGAGAATGACGTTTTTGGCGAATGTCAATTTTTACATATTTAGCTAGGAATGTTTTGGAACAAAATCATTCGCCAATCATAGTTTGAAATGCCATTTTATTCGCCGAGTTCATTTGATTCACCAAATCATTCGCTTCACCGATCAAAAGAATTGCATTAAATTATTAATAATTTTAATTTATTGTTAAAAATTTTTAAATATTAAAGCAGAAGCAAGCTCACATGTTTGTTTAAAAATTGGTGTAAAAATATTAAAACACGACGGAATATAAAATTTGAGAGCGTAATTTTAACATTTAAAGTTTTTTACTTAAATTTTTTTTTACAAAAAGAATAGTTTAAATTTGTTTTAAAAGCGTAAATAAATATGTAAAACATTTTTCAATAATTAAAATTAAATTTTACATATTTTAACAATAGCAATAAAAATTTAATAATTTAAGAAAAAAACATTTTTTTTTTATAGTTTTAATTTTTCTTGTACCATATTTATTCAAAACGATGTTGTGATGTAATTTAAAGTTTTATATTTAGCACATTTCGATAAAAATTGACAAAAAAAATGTGCTTTTAATTTTAGTTTTATTTTTTTTAAATTGTAGTTACACCTAATAATTATAAGATATTGAACTAGAAATATCAGATTATTTTCAAAAATATCTAAAATTAAAAATAAAAATTAATTAATTTTTATTAAATAATTTTATTTTTGTTTTTTTTTTTCTGCTTAAAATAAAATTATAATACAAGTAATATGAAGATAGTAATTTTTATTTTGTAAAAATTTATTTTCAATGTTTAATGGTATTTACTTGGAAATTAATGTCTGTCATTTGTTAATGAAAATTTTTCTATACATATACATGTATAGAAATTATAATTATATAATTTAGAATTTTTAATTTTAATATAGTGTTATAAAAAAGAGTGTGTTAGGTAGTAACCTCTTCCGAAAAATCTTTTAAGGCTTGTTATAATAATATTATCGTAAAAGTATGGTATAGTATTCCGTATTGTCAAAAGTTATGAAACTGCCTTTAAACCGTGCCTAAATCGAAAAATAGAGACAATGGCACTGCATTGTCAAACAAAACCAAACAAATTCTGTTTTTTATATTTCGGAATACAAATTTTGTAAAAACATTATAAGTATTAATACCATCCATCTTTAAAATTTCCAGCCTATCGTATTTAATTTCTTATATCAAAGTCAATGCATACGAAAAAGCGTAATGCATCGTCAAAATTTGGCGGTTATTTTACAATACGGAATGCTATCTATATAAAACACATACATTTTATACTTATTATATAATAATAATATATAAGTAAATTATAAGAATGAACTAAATGTTTAATTTCATATACATATTAAGAATTTTAATGTTTACATACAAATCACTTAATTTTTTCATATGAATGTATGAAATTTCTTAACTATATAAAAAATTGCATATTTGTTGGAGAAACCATTTCTGATTCTCTTGATTTTTTTACTTTTTCTTTTAAATTTTATAGCATTTTTTTTTTTGTTTTTTTCTTTATTATTTTAATACAAATAGATTTTTATTTTTTTGTTTTTTTTTTTTCTTTATTTAACAGGTACTTAACTAAAATTCTGTTTAAATCTATAATTTTTAAATTACTAAATCTAAAGTATAACTTTTTTTTATTAAATATAATAAAATATAATATAATAATAAAAAAAAAATAAATTTATAATATTTACATGAAGGAAAATATAGAAAGATAAGGGGAAATAAAAGAGAATTTATATGTATAAGAAACTAAAGTACACGTTCACCTAATGATGGTGATCGTTTTATTAAAATTGATGTTGGTTTATCTTCTGAGAAATCTGAATTTATGAGATCATGTTTTTCTACATCATTATTTGCTAATATTTTATGTATTCCATTTGTTTTATTATGTTCAATTTTATTCATTGATGATGGTTGTTGATGTGGTGATGCATCAACTACTAAACGACGTAAGAAACCAGCATTACAACCCCATGGGAATGTCCTAAAAAAATAACAAAAAAAAAAATATGTAATAAATTTTGTTTTTATTTGGAAATTTTAATTAAAAGTTATTTTTGTATACATATGTATATAGAGAACCATACCATTTAAGTGATAATAAAATTTTAATGTATCCTGGAATCACAGCACATTTTTCATTTGTACGAATTGCACGAACAATTCTATCAGCAACATCATTTGGATTTAAAATTGGTACCCATCTGCAAATTAAATTTATATGAATTATTAATAAAATATTTATATTGAGTTATTTTACATAATTTTGCAAAATATTTAATAGTGAAAAAGTAAATTTTAATGTTACAAATTTGCAGTTTAATTGTTGACAATTTTTACTTTTCTGCATCTGACCGCAAATTTTATTTAATTAGAAAATATTCATTCACAATAGGTTTAAGTTTTTTTTGTGTTTCTCAAGGAGAAAAATTACATTAAAATTTTATTTTAATATTTAATTTAATTTTGTAATAAAATTAGCACATAGAAATGTATTTGATTTCTTTATTTTACATATAAAATTATGACTAAACATTAAAACAATTAAAATAATTAAAAAAAAATAACAAAAAAAAAACAATTAAAGTTTTATAGTCATTATTTTTTATTTGCAATTTATATTTCTCTTTTTTAGTGAGTAAAGCCCAAAAAAAAAGCCGTATAAATTTGGAAACAAGAAATTATTTTACAATAATGAATACTTTAATAATACATGCAAGTATGTACATATGTGCCAGTATGTGGCAGTTAGCATTATGATTTAATTAACACAATCCAAAAAATAAAAACAAAATTTTGACATTGTATTTCGTATAGAGTAATTATACAAGTATAAACAAGAAAACCAATAAAAAACTAAACAAACAAAAAATAAAAGCATTGTATGTGTAATATAAGTAGTATAAGAATATGACTTTAATGACCTGCCTCAAGGTCATGTTTACTGTAAAACACAAAATATTACAATATTCCTATAGAATTTTTATTATATTTTGTAGTAAACAATAGGATGCTTTATATTTTTAACAGCATGGCATTTATAAATTCTTAATCGTATACGCAATATATAGTAAATTTCTTGTTTTCGATTTAGTATCCTGTTTTAATGTTTTCGTAAATTGAATTATTAAATATATTAATTAAATTTTTTTTTTTAAATTTTCAGGTTTTCCCTGCAAAACTGTTCCAGATCAAATTAAAAATTATTTTACAATTTGACTGTGGTTAAATTTAGCTTTCCTGAAAATTTAAAATTAATAGTTTGGTGAAAACATATTTCGGTATTCAAAAATCAAACGAAAATTTTCCAAGCTTCGAACAAATTTTTGTTACTAATCGGCAAAGAGAGATTGTATACTATATTTTAGAGAAATCCTTAAACAGTTTTTTTTCCCAACGATCTCTATAAGTGAGTATTTCCTAGTATTTACACATACAATGTACATGTATATACGCAAATCATGATTCAAATAAAAAAAATTTCGAATTATTTAAATTTGCAAAAATTTTGGATATTAGTTTTAAATTTATTTGATTAAGCATAACAACAATTTTAAAAATATCAGTATATTTAGAAATTTTAATTGCTAACCAAGATAAAAAAATTCATTTTAGCTTTAATCTGTATAGTAATCATCATTAATTAAACAAAATATTTAAAGTAAATTCTAATTTCTTCAATACATAAATTGCAATTAAATGACACATAATTGTCAATTGAGTCATAATTGTCAAAATTAAAAATTTTCATATAATAACTGAATTCCAATGTGAAATTATTAGCTAATAAAAAATTCTACATAATTTTCAAGTAAATTTTGTAATTTCGTTAAGTAAAATCGAAAGAATAAAATTTCGTTTTAATATTCTTAAAATAAAAAAACTTGTTTTGAAATACATATATACTGGTTATAAAAATACGCAACTAAAGTGGAAATGAACCCATTAAGTATGTACATAGTAGAAAAAAAAACAAATCCTAGATGCATTTTGATTTTAATTTTTGGTTTTTATTTTATTTTTTAAATCACTTTTTTTTTTCTTACCTTGCATTAACATCATCGAACATTCCGGTTTGTTGAATAAAATATGGGCAAATACAAGTTGTTTGAACACCATGATGTCCAAGAACATCTAGTTCTAAACGTAAGGCTTCATCAAATCCAACCTATACATTGAAGAAAACAAGAAAACAAAAATGAGATTCTGATGAATAAATTATGCATTAAAAAACAGGATGCGAATATTTAAGTATATGTAATAAATGTATAGTGTATAGTGATTGTGCGTAACTAAAAATAAATATTGTAATTTTTTGTTTTTACAAATAATTAATGTTTTTTTTTTAGATAGCAACACAAGATGGATACGCAAAATAGACATAAATACAAGTAATTTATGTATGTATACTTACAGCTGCAAATTTACTAGCACAATAATCAACTAATTTTGATATTCCAATATGACCAGCTAATGATGCAATTGTAACAATATGTCCATGATCTTTTTCAATCATTTGTGGTAAAAATGCTTTTGATGTCTGAAATTAAGAAAGAAAAAAATGAAATTTTGATTAAGAAAAGTATTCAACAACAATGTCATTGAAATATAATTCAGAAAAATTTACCCAAAAATGTGCCATAATATTAACATTAAATGATCTTTCAATAAGATGATCTGGTGTTTCTAATAATAAACTTCCTGATACAACTCCAGCATTATTAACCAATAATGAAACCTATGTACATAATTAATTAATTAAGAATTATTAAAAAATATGAAAATTCTTAAAATAATTATATGTAAATATTTTTTTTTTATAATTTTGTATTTTTTAAGAAATTTCTGTAAAAATTATTTGAAAATTATTTGTATAATGTAAAAATGAATCTAAAAATTATTTAAAATCAAATGATTTTCAAAAATTTGTAAAATTTCCTATAAATTTAATTATTTTGGTCTATTGGGTGCTAGTTACACATCAGACTAAATCTCTGATTTAATCTACTATAAAATCTGAATATTTCTAATCTAATAAACTGAAATATTTATTTTCTGCCATGCTATTTTTAAAAATTTAATATTTCTATTTTTTTCATCAGATTCACATTTAATCGTAGATTAAATTTCATGTGTAACAGGCACCCAAATCGCAATTTCGTGCGTAACAAGCACCTTTCAAATTTAAATAATTTTATAAGATCCAGGTTGCATTTGTGAATTTAGATTTATGAATATGTGCATTTTAGAATTAATTTAATTAAAATAATAAAAAAATATTTAAAATATAAGAAAACTACAATTTAAAAAAATCATTTTACCTCATGTATAATAATTTTTGAAAAAATATTTAAAAATTTAATTTTAAATTTACTTAACATAAAATATAAAAAAAGAATACTTTTCATTATTTTAATGCTTTATTTTTTTACACAGTAAATAAACAAACTTTTATAAAATGTAAAGATATAATCAAAAAAGAAATGAAAATTAATTAATTAGCAACTTAAAATAAAAAGTTAATATAATTTTGAAAATTGTTCCGGTTTCTAGTTTTTACAAAAAAAACAAAATGTTTATTAATTCACTAAAAATAAAAATAACAAAATGTAACTATAAAAAATATAAAAAAAAAATTATCATTTAATAATTTAAAGCGAGGAAAAAATCCAAATTATTACCTAAATTAAAAAAATAACAAAATTAATAAAAATTATTATAAACATATAATATATTAATTACAAACACATACAAATGTCTATGTATATGTATAGACACAAAAATTATAACAGTTGGGTGGCAGAATCATTTCACAAAATAAAATTAAAAGAAAAAATAACAAAATGTAAAAACGTTCAAATCCGTTTTCAAATAAAAGAAAAATATCTTTTAAATTAATATAGAAAAGCTATATAGAATTAATGCCAATTCATAAGGGGTTAATGAACTTATAAATTCCAATATATTTTTTTGTGTACGAATAGATAAAATACCATGTTTTATTATATGGTTATATATGCATATGTTCATATGTTCTTTTCTTTTTAGCGATGAATTCATAAAAATTTTTATTTTTTGGTTTATAATTCAGTAAAAAAAAAATTTAAGATTCTTTTAAATTTTAAAATATGTAAATTAAAAAGGTTTTTATTTTTATGTTCGGAAACTGATAAATTAAATATATTGAGATTAACACTCAAAAAAGATTAGAATGACATGTGATATGATCTTGAACCTACGTTTCAGTTTTGAATTGCTAATCGATACATATTACAATTCGATATTATATTTCAGTTCTTAAACATAGGCAATAACTATTATAGATAAAAAATTTTAATGTGAAATTCAAATTAAATAAATATTTAACATTAAGCACTGAAAAATCTCGAAAAACCCCTATTCAATCTTTAGTAGTATATCAAAATTTTAATAAGAAAAAATAATTTCTTTTTAAATCAGTTCTCAATCGGTTGCATCCAAAAGTTTTATACAAAAATTCATATGCAAAAGTTTTTTTAACGTTGATTGTCGATTGGCATTTGTTGTTGACGGGTATTCGATCGTCAGTTACACCTTTAGTCTTACAATACTTTACTAATATTTAATAGTTTAAAACGATTTTTACTAATTTTATTTTTTTACTAATTTTATTTTTGTAAAATTCTTAAATTAACTCAATTTATTGATGTCAAATTATTATACATGACTTGCATATATAAATATTCCATGAAAATACGATCAAATTTATTCAAATAAAGGATTTTTAATCTAAAATCATTTTTTTTTTTACATTTCTGTAAAAATTTATTGAACCAGTATTTTTTACATAAATATGCAAACATACACAATTGAGTTACAACTTTTTAGGAAACATAAAATCATAATGTAAAAAAAAAACCTGTATTTTAATCAATAATTCAAATGTAATAATGAATTGAAAAAAAAAAAACAAAGAAAAACAAAAATGCATAAAAATTGCACAATATTGTCAAGGCCGTCAAATATAAAATAAAAGTTGTTGACCCAAAACAAAAAAATTTATTTAAAAAATTTTCATAATTTAAAATTTTGTTATTCAATTTAAATATAAAAAATAAATAAATTCATTTTTCTTTTTTACATACTCAAGTAAATGTGTAAGTATTCATGTACATATGTACAGCACAAATATACTTTTTCGTATGCCTGAGTGATTTGTAAAATTAAATTGAAATATTTATTAAAAAATAATATTATGAAAAAAAAAATTAAAGTAAATATACTAAGAATATTTTTTCTAAGATTTTCAAAATATATATATACAATATGTTTTATTAAGTATATATACTTACATCACCAACTTCTTTACGAACAATATCGGCAGCTTTATAAACTTCATCTTTCTTTGATATATCTACACGATATCCTTTACAATAGCCGCCCATACTTTGTATTATCTCTGTAGTTTCTTTGATTCCTGCATAATATAAAAATAGAAAATAATTATGTTAATTAAAACAAAATGCTCTTGTATTGTGATTCTTTAAAGTTTATTTAGTTTAAATTTATGTTAATAAAGAAAGTTGAGGTTAATTTAAGAAATTTAGGAATATAAGAAATGCATATGTTTATATATAAAAAGAATCTGTGTTATTTTAAACAAACAGTATAAAAATAAGTTTTACAATAAAGTAGGTACAAAGAAATTTTAAATTTTGTGAGGAAGGTTAGCCAGCCAACTGGATTTCATACGACTATAACGTAATTAATACTGTGATACCATAATAGACATAAAATTTTATTGTAATGTATCAACCGAGTTAAAGAGTTTGTGCTATACTACTGACTTGCAAAAAACTATAAATTTATTTTTCATTTGTCCGACAATTTAATAATATAGTCACAATGTAAAGGACTTGTAAATTATATGTTTTGCAATTTTTCGGTCAAATACAAATTGCGCACGCAGTGGTCCGGAAGATGGTGGATTGTAATTTGAACTTCTTTTTTACTTGGACTATAAAACCTTTAAAGCTTTCTTCCAAGATGTTTTCTTATTTTCTAATCTTATCGTATATACTAGTCCGAAATTTATTTACCGAAATTTCTGCTATAAAGTGGGTTACTTTACTATGGAGGCCATGTTTATTGTTATAAATTTATTTGCAACGTATGCAATATAAATTGTATTTAAAGTTATATATACAACGTTTTAAAGCAAATTTCTTTTATTATGTATGTATGATGTTTAAGAATTTAACAATGTTTTGCTTTAATTTTATTGCATGTTGGTTAACAAATAGATTGCATTATAAAATCTTATGAAAAAAAAAAATGATGAATTAACAGAATTTTTTTCTTTGCGTGAATTTAAAAGAACTCATGTGAATTCCAAAACAAAACACTTTATATATTCTATATGCATAATATTTTTCTATATATAAATATTAAATGCTTAATAATACCATAAAACCACATTTAACTCTATAATGATGACCTTCAACTTCAGAATAATCGGTTTGATATTGGCATTGAATAAACTTTTGTTTTTTTTTTGTATTTTAAACGTATATTTTTCAAGAAAAACTTGTTGGCATTTTATCCTTAACATTGAAAATATTATATTAGAACTTTTTTTTTTTGTTTATTTTAATTATAATAAAATTTATAGTTTTCTAATTCATTTTATTTTGCATAATATTATAATTTTAAAAATGGATGGAGATTCTTTTGAATCTAAGATCATTAAAATTTTTTAAATATTAAATTAAATTTCCCAAAAAAATAAATTCAATGTGAATTTTTTTTTAAATTTAATTAATTCTATATTGTATAAAGAATTTTAAAAAATTCAATAATTAAGTAAAAATATAAAAAAAAAAATGGTATTTGTCTGGTTTTTTTTTAGACATAATTTTTGTAATAAAAACACAAAATTTATTATAAGAATATTTTATTGACGATGATTTTTAAAAAATTAATAAATTTTTTTAAATTTTTTTTTGCTTAAATGAATCAAAATTTTGACGTTAAAAGAACTGGATGGTCTTTATTATTAATAAATCTATTTACTAATGTTTAAAATTTAGAAAAACAAACGAATAATTTCTTATTTCACTTTGGTGGAAAAAATGATGGGTTTTTCTATTTTTGAAAATCAAAATGAATTCTAATTTGAATATATTAAATTAATGTGTAAAATTGGCAAATAATAGAAATGATAAAAAAACCAAAGAAAAAAAAAATCCCACATTAAATTTTAAGACGCAATTAGAAATTTTGATTTAAATTTAAAAATTTTAAGGAAATATTTCAACAACATGTAATAAATAATTCACAATTTCATTTTTGCAGCAAATATATTCACAATAGTAATTCAATTATGTTATTTTGCAGAATATTTGGTTTTAAAACAAAATACATATAATTTTCTCAGGTGTTGAAATTTAAAAAAAATTATCTGGCCTTATACAATTAACTGGAACCACGTTTATGTTTATGTTTTTTAAAAAAAATTTAATTTCAATTGAATCCTTTTCATGTTGCATTTCTTTATTTTCTTGTAAATTCAGCTTTAAAATTGACTTGCAAGCTGGGAGAGTGCTTGTGAGAACTAGCAAGCTAAGAGAATGGTCATGGGAATGGTATTAATAGCCACCGCGGAAATAAAATTTCCGTGGGTGGAATCGCTTCTTTTACATACCTAGAGCGGTCGTTGGAAAGGTCTCGGTGTCAGCATCAATTGTATACGCATGGATGATGGGATAGTCATGCGGGATTGCTTTCTATCCTTAAAAATGTTTGTATTTAACAACTACAGGGAGTTATTAAATGCGATAAAAGAAAAAAATTACTATGTTTTTGGTACAAAACTTGATCGCAATCACTTTTGAGCTAAAAACAGAAATTTTATATACCTAGTTCAATGATATTTCATTTAATATATGAGAAAAGATGTCAATAAAATAAAACATGTAAATTTTTTTTAAATAAATTTTCATAACCAAATTAATAATTTTTTTATTGCATACTTTTGTTCTAATATTGTAAAATGCGATATTGTAAGAGCAGATTTCTTATTATATAAATATTTACTATCATAATTAAATTTGTTTAAAAAGCTATAAAATGAATTTTTCTATATAGAAGTCTATAAAATAATTTTTCCTCTTCTTTTTTAATTTATAAATTTCTATATTATTGTAACATTGTCTAAGTGATATTGACTTTGAAATAAAGAAAATGTATAAAGGTAAATATAAATAAGAAATAAAGTAAGTGTTTGAAAATTTTTTTTTACATAATCATACTTACGTTCTATTACTTGTAAAATTTATTTTATATGTATAAATATAAAATGACATAATATATAAAGTGCAAAAGTATATTTAACATTACCTTGTACCTAATTTAGGTACTTATAAAGTAAGAAAATGTTTATGTCACCCGTATTACACACTCTTATATACAAGATTATTTATTTAAAGTGCAATTTTATTTATTTTTCATTTATTGATTAATTGAATATATTTGACAAAGATGCTTTTGAGGCATAAATACAATATGTACATATATTTTAAATATGTAAATAATTGTGTATGAGCACTTTAAAATAAGTAATAATAATTAAAAAAAAAATTTAAAGCAAATAAATTGAATTTTGAAAATTATAGGTTATGTGAATTACAATATACATTAGAATATGGGGGCTTAATTTTAAAAATATTTTGAATTTAAAATAAAAATATTACTGTTGAAAATAATATGAAATATTAATTTAATTAATTAATTACAATATAATAAGTTATAATATTCTTGAATATATATATTTACCTTCAGAATTAATGTCCCATATAACAACTTTTGTACCCATTTGGCTTAAACGTTGTGCAACAAGACGACCCAAACCACTTCCTCCTCCCGTAACCAAAGCAATTTCATTTAATAAATCTTTTTCTGGATAACCACATGTCAAATAATAAATATCCTAAAAAAATGCAAAATAAAAAAATTAATTAAAATGGTTATCCTTTTATTGATATTAATTAAAATGGTTAAATTGAAAATATTTTAAATATTAAATTACACCAAATTATATTTTAATAGAATTTAACAATAATGATTTTAATTATGTTATAAACAGCTTAAATTTAATTATTTCATATTAATAAGTCAATAACCTATATATTATTATTATTATTTTTGTTACAATATAAATTTTCGATAAATCGTTAATGTCATTCTCAATAGGTCTAATAATAATGTCAAGTTTAATATAAAATTTTTCAATAGGTTACGATTTTCTTTTATTTATTGTGCGATATATGTAATAATATGTATTACCTATATAGATAAATTTATATATTAAAATTTAATGGTTAATAAATTTTCAAGTATGTATATGTATAAACAAATTTTTTATATATGTTTAAATTTATGCTTTTGTTCTATTTATTACATACATACGTATATTGAAATCTAAATTTTCAAAATATTCAAATATAACTATTGTGAATGTGAACTAAAAAAAATTTTACATTAAATATTCAATATTTTATTATATCAAATATCATTAAGTGTTTGTATTATAATAATATGCCTTTTTACAACTTTTACAAGCATAAAATTTTTTCTCGCACTTTTTAATAATTTTATAATAATAAAGAAAACATAATAGAATAACCGCGTCTCTATAAATTATTTTAGGTTTCTTTTATATATACATATGTACTCGTATTATCTCAATTATTTGTATATACATAGTTCATTGGTTCGATCACATATAATTGTTAATTTGTTATAAAGCACACCTTCTTATTACTCAATTAGAGTGAAAATGTTAATGACTTTAAAATAGCACACATTTCTACAAGTATAGTAATTTTAAAAATTTGCATATGAATATTAAATGTGTGTGTGCATAAATACTTGCTTTGTATATAAAATAAATAAAACAATAAAATATACGATATGAACTGAATAACACAGTCACTCTAACAAAAAAATTATATACATATGTTTGTATGTATGAATATGTGTTTAAGTAAAGCATAATAATTTGTGACTAACTGATTAAATTTAGTATAATTGTAAAGAGTATGAGATTTGTGTAAAAAAATTTGTAAGTACAATATTATAAGTAATTTAAATATTTATGTAATTTCTATAATTATTATAATGTAATGTATAGATTGTTTAAAAAGTGGCGGTACATAGACTTTAAAGGAAAAATTGAAAAGATCTCTCAAAACTCCGAGGAGAATGTAAGATTTATATTTGCTATGGAACCTAAATATGGTGGACACAGCATATATCAATAAGGCTATATATGGAATATTTTGACCCAGAACAATATCAAACAATGAACTATGGACGATTACTGAGAAGCCAATAAATTTGACTATAACGGAAAGAAAGCAGAGATGGCTGGACACAGGTTGACTGGAAAGAAGTTTTTAATGCGCCTCTGTTTTCCGGAGCCCGTTGGAAGTGATTACTTTGCGTCTATGATAAATCCGACGCTAGTAGATCCGATACATATATAATACTTAATGGTTAACATTTTTAAGAAGAAGATTTAACTTCTACTTTGATTACAATGTGAATTAATTGCTTTTGTTTTTTTGCTAATCTTCATTATTATTTTTCAATTTTTCATTACTTGTCATTTTTCTTAAAAAAATATTACAAAATTTAAATTATGTTCATAATATAATTATGTTTTTATACAGAAAAATTTTTTTACTTTGTTGTAATAATTATTTATTTATAATTTATAATGAAAAAAAAGCAAGAATTTGCTTAGTAATCAAATTCATTAGATTTTGTAATACGAAATATTTTATATAACAATTCATATGTGAGTAGTTTGAATAAATTCATGCTACTACCGCTGTTTTGTAGTTTTTAATGTACGAGGAACAATTAAAATTATATTAAGATGCCTAAGATTAATTATTATACAGTATACATTTTTATACGTTATATGTATATATATAGAAGTTGTCAATCAATAAAACAATATTTTAACCATAAGAGAAACTAATCGATTTTTCATATTAAAAATTATATTAATAAAATTTATGAAAAGAATAATATAGTTTCTATTAAATATTTAATTTATTAAGATTTTCGTGTATTATGAATATGTTATAACATTTCCGAATGGATGTCAAGGAATAAACTCATAAAAAACATTAAAAAAATATATGATAATTAGCTCTTCTCTGCCTACAACTTGAATATATATATTTAAATAATCAAGTACTGTAAAATGTTGAGAAATATAAATAACTCAGTTTGTGGATTGACGAACAACTGAAATGGAATGTTGAATACAGTTTGTTTAAAAGAATTTCTTCTGTGGTTCCAAATGATTTGAAAAGAATGGATTTTTTGCTGTCTATTTCATAGTCCCGTAGCCTACGGAATAAATACTGTGAGATTCAACAACCAATGAATCAATTAACATGCTACATACAATTGAAATAAACAACTACCACTGGAGGTATTTCATCTACCACATAGTTCATCTAAAAAAAGAATTTATACAACAGGATATTTCAACATTATTACCATATTTCATAAGTAATATCACACAATTCTTTTTACCATCCGCATTCTTAAGAGAGATTCTGTGACGGCACCAAATTTTGCATATCGAGTTTCAGTGGAAACGCACATCTCCATTGAATAATGTGTAACGATGTAAAGCTTATCAACATGTTGAACATAGTATGAAATACTAAAACTTTAACATGTCAAAATCAATCACAATCAGTCACAATAGTCTTTTGCCACAATCAGTCAAAATAACCATTTTAGCATTTCATTTATATTTTATATTAATATTTCTCAATCAAAAACATATTGTGGTTTTAATCCAAAATTAAGGTTAAAAATTTATTACAAAATTAATTTATTAGTTCTGAATTTTCCAACAAAATTAATAAGTGATTATTATTCATTTTAAAATCTAATCAATAACATGCGATTGTAAAAATGTAATTTTTATAGCATGAAACGTCATATTTTATAAACATATATAAATACAAATGCTCAATACGTTAAAATACATACGAGTACAATATTATAATTATATTTACATGATTTATTAGATTTGCACCTTATATATATATATATCTATATATATATAATACTTATATATATACGTATATAAGTATTAACCCTACAATTATTTTTTGTATTAAAAATTTCAAAATTAAGCAAATCATCGATCAATCATTAATTTGTAAAAATTAACCTATATATTGTAATATATTACGCTTACTATATTTATATATTATATGGATATATAGGAGTACAAACTATATATAATTACACACTTTTCGAAATAGAGTTATTAAAAAAGACCTACATATAAAATTAAATTATGCGCGTATATTAAACAAACTATGTATATGTGGTCTAGAGTTTTTTTTAAATTAGGATATGAAATGATTATTTTTACAAAGTAGAGTGAGTGTAAATTTGCAAATTATTTTATAAAGCTTTCTTATTGTAAACAAGTTCGTATATGCTATTTATTCTTTATGGTATACATACATACATATATGTTTACATTATAAATTTCATCAATTTCTTAATAAAATTACATTTAGTTAATATGGGTATAGTAGTTTAATTAAATATAATCTAGATGCTATATTATGACTCTATGATTATAATCGAATTTTTCACAAGGTTTTCAACATTTTATTTCTCGATAAAATTTCTTGTCTTTTATTGTAGCATGTTATACATACATATATGTATATATATATTATTTAAAATGATTTCAAAGTTCAAAAAATTTTTACGCACATGTTTATATTATAATAGATTCGACTATATATTTTGAATTAAAGATTAAATTAATAACAATAGAATAAAATTATTACAATATAAAAACTATAAAAGCTTTATTATAGGTAAAAATTTGCATTAATCTGTATTTTGTTAAATATTGATTAAAATTATGATAATATTACAGTAACGTATATAAGGGTTCTTAAATGATTGATACAAAAATTTAATTGAATAAAATAAGAGCTGTGGTTTAAGAAATTCAATTTTAAATCAATGACTAATTATTTAATTATATGCATGAATTCTCCATAATAAAGAAATTACTAAATGTTTATACTGCAAATTTAATCTATACGACAATGTATACGACAAAACTTATATGCGACAATAACTTGTCGTATATACGTTTATTTATTTAATTTTTAGTCTTTATGTTACTCCTTGTATCTTTATACACATAGGTAACCATAATAAGATCTAACTCTAACTTGCAATTTCTACATAGTGGTAAATCTAAAATCTGCAAAAACCAATTGCGAATTCTTACTTCTAAACCCTGAAGTTTTTAGTTTTAAATATATCTGACAAAGTTAAGGTAAGGGATTTTGTAGCTTAGCATTTTTATTATTAAAATATTGTATAAAATGCTCTTTTCAGAAAATTTAATATAAATTTTATTTATTTAAATAAACTACCAGTTTATCTAGTTAGTTATATATTTATTTAATATTTAATTTTTAATCTAAATAAATTAATTTTACAATACAAACTTTTAATCAATAATACAAACTTTTATTGATTGATCACATCTGTTTCTAAAAAAAAAAAACTTTTACTTCTTTATCTTTATTTCCTTTTGGTTTGTTAAACATTTTGTTTAAATATTTCATTTCCTGAATGGCGGCTTCTTTTTTTTTTTGTTCTCTATTGCATATAAGAAGATCACTTCCGGATTCGGCTTTTGTTTCGATTTTCTAAAAAGTATTATATAACATTTCATATCCGGAAATTTAATTTTTTGGCAACATGTCGTACATGAAAATTGACAAATCAAAGAATAGAAAGAGAATAAGAAAGAGAGAAAAAAGAGAAAGAGCGCGGGAATAAATTGTTATAGGAAAAGGAAAATAGGTCAAGGGCAAATAGCTTAAAATAGATTTTTACAATTTCACATACATT